GCATCTTAAGGAGCCTGGAGAACCCAGAGAAAAACCCTACGGAGAGACCTAACAAACTCTTCTCCAAAGTCCAGGAATAGATTTCTTGAATTTGACATCAAACCAGCTTAATTTTGAGGACAAAACAAAAGAATTTCAATCTCATGAGATTTTTACAGCAACTTAATAATTTTATTTGTAGAATTTCAATTGATAAGAGCAGAGAAAACATATATAGATAAAGATTGAAAGGCCTATTTGTACATGTCATCTAAAAATTGCAGACGCTAATTGAGTTTGATGATACGATTTGGAAACCTATTGTTATGTTTTCCAATTGAGCTGCATTCCGAAGTGCTGCGAGGGGTCTATTGAACCTGGACCCCAGGGATGAGTGTTGAGTGCACTACCACAACACCACCTTTGATTAGAAAGAAGAATAAATATAACAGCAGTATATGTAATACCTTTTTTGCTTGGAGGGACTTAGCTTTCTTTTGTTTTTCTGAAAAAGAAATAAACATTTTCTGAAAATGACAACCCTAGTTTGTTAGCTATGCAGTACAATATTTATTAGGTAGTAATAATAACAATTATTCTTATGATAATGATAATAATAATGATAATAAATTTATTTATATAGCACACATGTCTAAGATTCAAGGTACCATATTATGCTTACAGTGATAGGTATGATATTTGATAACCTTTGTTTAGACTTTCTCCAAATTAATTGTATTTATTGTATCATAGCCATTTGTCTTTTCAAACCATTTTCATCACACATAAAAAGTTACTATGAATGTCACCGAACTGGGTTTTTGTGACAGAAAAACATTCTATGATCACACTATACATGAGCATGAACATTTTTTACCCTGGATATTTCAAACCTGTTATTTCAAACCTCTCCCCTGGTCCCCAGGAAGTTGAAGATACTACAACTTCACTGTATAAATCACTGTATAAATCATACCTTTAGCAGACAGGGAATCAAGAGCATCATTAGCTACTTCTGTAGTAGATGCTGTAGCTGTAGTTGTTACAGCTGTTGTTGATGCTGCTGTTACGGCTGTTGGTGCTGTTGAAGCTGTAGTTATAGCTGTTGAAGTTGATCTGTTTTTGGGTAGAATAAATTGATAACCAATAAATGTGTAAGTTGTAATATTGCATGTATCTCCTGAGAATTGGAAACCTATTGTTATGTCCTTCAAATTGAGCTGAATTTTGACGTCCTGCAAGGAATCTATTGATAGAGTACATAACTGAAGAGGTGTAGCTTACCCAGAAGCTACAGGCACATATTGCTGAGTAGTTGCATCCCAATATAAATACTGTCCTGTAGTGCTGTTGTAATAATACTGAAACAACATGATTAGATTACATATCAAGATTACAAATATCTGTAAATGGAGTTGATATTACTCCATTTACAGTCAAAGTAAGAAAACCATGAACACCTTAGTAAACTATGTCTACTCATTTCTAATTAACTGTTGCATGTGATTGGTCAGAACATGGTGTTTAACATTCCAGACATATTTTAGGTGTTCACAGGTTTTCTTAGTTTGAATGTAAGAGGGATAAGACAGCTTTTTATAGCTAATCACCACCACAATTACAGCAGTGTCATAGCTCAACAGGGTCAAACTGGAAGCTATGTGAAGGCACCTCTGGCAGCGGCTGTACAGTCCATGTATGACCCCAGAGAACAGCTCTAACCAATTTGAATTAGTTAGGGTTGATTTGAAAAGGGGAGTAAAAAACCGGGGGTTCAAATCCAAGTCACCCTATGTGAAAAATCTGGAGGCTGGAAAAGCCCTTCAATTGAGAAAGAGAACTTCATCCTGACTCCATAAGGTGACTATATATGAATTATAATAAAAATTTGTAGTTGCTAGGATACTCTGATCTACAGCTCTAAATAATTACCTGAGTTGCAGAGTCATAGTAGAGTCCTGATATGGAATCATAGTAGTACCCAGACATAGGATCATAGACAAAATTGGAAGCATGTGGGTTTCCATATAAATCAGATTGCTGTGTGGTTGATACCACTGAAGCTTCTGCTGTCATGGTTGCAGCAAATGAGGTAGTAGTGGAATCTGGTTAATATTTTAAAGTCTGGATTAGTTTTCTTTGAAAATATAATTTAAGGCCATTGTATAGCATTCAATTTACCCCATTACAAGGTTTTAAGCCTGGTTCTCAATAGGGATGCAAGACTATGCAAGCATAAACACAAGCGCAAGACAAGGTAAGAAAAATAAATTTTCCATTCTGTTGCAGTTGTGTTATTTCTTTTCAAAATGAGAACGTAAAGTCGCATCTGCTCGCTACACAAATGAGAACCAAGCTTTAACCAACAATACTGAAAATACAATGGTGTGGGATAAAATATTTCCTTTCCATTAGGTATTGCAACCTAGGTGAATTTTCAATGGTGTGGGATAAATTGTATTAACTGTAAAGTAGTTAAAGTTAAAGAGTTATAATATTATAGTTCCATGCCATGGCATACCCTAACCATTTTATGTATAGTAGGTACGAAAATGCTGAAAGGAGTTAAATAAAATGCAAAACTAACCTGTGGTGATTGAAGTACTGACTGCCTCTGGCATCTAAGAAGGACAAAATAACATTATTAAAAAAACTATTATATAACTTAAGAAATTATAAAATAACAGTTATAAAATTAATCTTGTGTTCTGATTGGCTGGTAGTGCGTGCTTTAAGCCTGATTGAAACTAGCATCAAGATCTGGATCCGAAGAAACATGCGCAGACAGAACTTTCAAAATCATAGTATCATTAACGTACCTGTTGTTGGTACGGCACTGAATATGCAGGTTGTGATGCTGCTTGTGCCTGTGCTATCGCCATTGCAGCAGCTGCTGACTGTTTTGGCTGCGCTGTACTGGACCACTGGGCCTGTTCTATTGCTGCAGTAGCTACATTACTAAGAATATTTATATTTTTGTTAGTTAATCTACCTTATAAAAAAACTTATAAATGCCACTTTTTGATTGGTTGGGGGTGCTTGCTACAGTATATCACATCACAGAGCACCTGTGAGCACTTTTAGTTCCAAGATTCATGTGAAGGAAGATAAACTACAACTTTGTTTTCTCGAACATCAACTTGTGTCTGACTCAGGTAGACAATATATGGATCCGGAGTGGATGTCACAAATTCTTGCGACAGGTCACTGGAAAACTGACTAATGCCAATCAAATAAGTCATTTGAGTACGTAAAGGTACATGGGAACAACTTATTTGATTGTGAGCAGTCTATTGCTCATCAACCTGTCACAACTTTAGTGTTGATCAGCATCTAGCAATGACAACAGTGGTTGGTAAGCAACATATGGTCATACCTGGGTTTGGAGGTTGGTGCTGGTTCACTATTCTTTGCATATAAGGTATTGATCAACCTGCCATCTATCTCAAAAGGTGGATTCATTTTTTGAAGTGTCTCTAGTAATGATGTAGCATCCTGGTGATGAAATTATCCATCCATTATTTACGCTGTCACATGCTAGAGCGCAGATTTAAGGCGCTTCCAATCAACTCGAAACTGATCAGCCAGAGCAGCAAGTTCTCAAATGGAATGCATCAGTTTTTAGAAATGGACCAACTTGGCCCAAACAAGTCGTAAAAACTGGCCATGCTCAGACCAATCTTTTCAACTCAATGGAAAGCACCTTAGTCAATGTTTCTAATAATTATTATAGCAATGCAAATCAATATTCTACAGTGGAGGCCTATTATTTTGAAACTTGGATACATATGTATATAATTTTTGGTGATGTCACATTCTGTGGACGTGAGTTCCAACAAATTTACACAGGATATCTCCAATCCCCATTATTTCAAATGTTTTCCGTAGAATATTCACGATGGGAATGCACTCTAGCTGTTTTTTCTATAAAGGGTTGATTTAGTGGAAGTTGTTAATACCCCATCTGGGTGAGGGAATCATTTCTAGAGAACATTGCTCTACTGTCAATCCTTGTGGCTATTAATCAGACCCATTTCTCTCCTTTAACATTTCTAAGTTGCATATTAATAACTCGGAATAACTTTCCCTCTTATGACATTTCTTTACATATTTTAATATTAGCATATTTTCATATCAATATTAAATAATATTATAAAATATTTAATATTTTAAAAATAATATTTAGTATTTCAATATTCAAATATCTTGGAGACAAAACAAGATTTTGGCAAAGGTCAAGAGAAATGAAGTTATTTAGTAATAATTCCCATAATAATTAATACTTAATATTGATTTTCATTACCTCTATAGAAGAGAGCTCCACAAAGCAAAACCCTCTTGAGGTGTTGGTCATCTTGTCTCTGATTAATCGAATGTCGAAGATTTGCAGTGAAGTCATTGAAGACAGTACTGTTCGCACCTGTTAAAGGATTAAAAGCCAACAATGTTATCATTATTATTACGGGTGTCATGAGTGGTATTCCACTACGTGCTTCAGTTGAGTTTGTTTGATCTGTCTTTTAAAATCCGCATAAATGGAGTGCACACTTTCAACCAACTTCCATTAGATATAAGACACTCTTCCAATCTTGGAGGGTTTGAGAAGACACTCTTCCAATCTTGGAGAGTTTGAGGCAAAAGGCCAAAGTCCATTTTAAACTAAAAAAACTATGCGCATTGTCTTGTTTTGATCTATTATTATGTTGTACCGTAATGTAACTCATGATTCATGTAGTATATATTTACTTTGTAATTATATTTATTTTACACAGGACTCTATTTAAACTAGCCTGTGCTAAATTAGATGTTCCTGTTAAAATATTGAATAAAATAAAAAAATAAAAACCAACATGTGAGTTGAGTGTTGTACGTTGTAAATAGTGTTTGTAGCATAAGTGCATGTAAAATGAACCTCATGGAAAAGCCCCTTACTGGGAGTGTTGCTTGTAAAAATACAAATATCAACGTTGCAGTTTGGGTTTTATGATTCCTATAATTATTACTATCATTGGTGCCGCAGAAAAAATAAATGATAAGATCTAGGATTTTAATTAAAACTTACGGTTTCTTCATTTGTCAACACATCTAAGCCTTTTAGAATGAGAACTGAAAACAAAAAGGAAAAGTAAAATTAAGACAAATTGTCATAGACCAGCTAAAATGTTTTTAGATAGACAGGTGTTTTAGCAACTGGCTGCAGTAGAAAGCTGTACAAGGTAAATGGCTACTCATTTTCAGTCGTCTGATGTGAACATTTTTGAATTCCAAATACATCAATTTTGCATTCGATGCATACCACTGTTTTTCAAGACCACAGACTCATTTGTACCGGCCTAAGGTAGGTTAGGCCTGCGCAGATGAGTCTTTAATCATAGAGCACAGTGTTCCTTGATTACAACACAGGGCTAGCCTCATTTTAGCATCAGAATATTTACAAATACCAACAGTAAAGTAAAGAATCCAAAACTTCAACAATACAAACACTTTGAAATTCCATCAGTCTTCACTGGGATCAGTGAATATTTTACACAAAATAGAGGCTAACCCTGAGTAACAGAGAACTCTAAACTGGAATACAAAGTTGTAATTTCCATTCATGATGGAATCCAAAAACAAATCAAAACCGCGATATGAAGGCAATGGCTAACAGCAACTCAGCTACAGCAACCACGAGGCCTTAGGCAGCAACTGCGCATGCGCAAGTCTCACACCGCTGGCCAGCACTCCACTCCCAGTTAACTTTGCTTAAATTTAACCACATAAAACAAATCAACTGGCGAGGTTGTACAATAATGAAAATCACAATTACAAAATTCTTTTGTAGTTAATTTACTATAAATAAATCATATCTAAGCACTGTTTTCCCATTTCAGATCAAGTGTCCATTCAACTTTAATTTTTTATTCATCAATGATACTGGAACAGATACTTTAGCATTGTTGAAATTATTTAACTCAAACAAAAAGATTCTCACAAGAATGGCATGTGGTACCCTGAAATGGGAAAACATTACGCCAAAGTGACCTGAATGTAATTCGTTCAACAATCATGACTACCTTTACAAGGTGTAGCAGTTGATTCTTTCTCTTCACTTCCCGTAGAAGCTAAAAAGAGATGTTAAATAGTAAGATCAAAGGTAGTAGTGTGTATAGTTGGTGTGTGGTATGACAGACAGAAAATCAAGGGTGATGCTCAATTCCAATTTGATCTGTGGATTAGCTGTGCCCTGACTCATATCTGGCAAGATGTTGTTTTAGGGTTTGATCATTGTGTAAGCTGTGCAAACTTTCATTCACCACAGCTAGTTTCAGGGTCCAAGGCTTTTTCAAATCATAGATTACTCTATATAAAAAGCCTACCTTCTTTGAGTGCTCCGCAAGAGAAGCACGTCATTCTTCTTCGGGAGGAAAAGTTCTGTGTTCCACACTAAATAAACAATAAGCAATTATTAAATTAGGTTGAGCAAAATATTGTGAATTGCTAGTCGCGAGTGAGCAATTATTTGCCGATGCCAAACAACACTATCCAATCTCTATATTTTGAGATAGCTGAGTTCAATAACTGTTTTTTCATTCAAATTTTTTTTCCGTTTTCTTTTTTGTGCTTTGGTTGTTTTTGCTGTCTGTCAACGTAACTTCGCACGCACAGACTATTATTTGCAGCAAAACAGCTTTGCATCATAATGCGCAAGAGCAGACTATTATTTGTAGGCAGTTATTTGTAGTTATCTCAGCCAATCAAAGGGATGGAAAAAATAACTTGGATAATTTGTTTTTTTTAATGCATATATTTTCTTCTGTACTGACGTTATTTACATATTATCCACAATACAATTCAAGCTTGGAACAAAACCTTCTCCAACCTTTTCCAATATAGAAGTATAATGTTTGCATTTACCTTGGTGCAATTCCAGTCTTTATCTTGATTACTTTTAGGTCTGCTGTAATCAGCACTGATAGAGTAACCTTGAACAAGTAAGCGACCCTACGAGTAAAAGGAAATCATATGCAACTTAAATCCTGTAGCTTAATAAATTACACTCATCCCACTCTTCTGGTAAAATAAAAATCCCTGAATTTTCACTGACCAAATCTCATTTTTCACTGTCTTTTACTGTCACTTTTTTTTTAAATGCTATCTTACTTTTTATTTGTACAACTACTTGCAAGAACGCTGTCATACAATATTAGGACATTAGTAGTTTAGTGAGAAAGGAATACATTAAAAGACAAAAGAAAAAGTTCAGCTTCAGTGATCTTCTTTTGGTTTTTAATATAATTCCTATCCCACTAAATCATTAATGTTCTATTTTGGTATGACAACGTTCCTGCAAGTAGGTGTATATAGTTGTATATATATTTAGATGTTTATTTACATTTTTTTTTTTAATTTACTCAATCCATTTACTTTAAATTACATTTGATGACTTCTGGGTTTCCACCTAATAAGGGGTCCACTTAAATCAATATTGTCAGTAGTATGGTATGGTATCTTCTTACTTTTATTAGCTTCATCCACTGCTTTGCAGATTCAATATCCTCAAATTCCACAAATCCAAAACCACGCGTATAACCTAGGTCAACAAAGAGACATTAAAAAATAGTTAGGCCAGAAACAATTTCACAGTAACAAACATCTGCATCAACATTACAGAACTTCCAAATAGCATGCACAGAATGGTGGGTGGGTGGGGGGAATCCGAAGTAACGGATATGCTTGTTGTATCTCTTAGGTGCAAAAAGAGGTGATTTCGTATCTCTGAATTAAGAAGCATACGCAATACTTGTATCTCTGAGTGCCCCAAAACCCACCCCCTCCCCCCACACGGACACATTGACCATGACATACACCATGACCCAACTGGTGTAAAAAACTTGTCCACATGGTACAACATTGCCATCATGTGGTTGACTTGAAATGCAATTGTGGTTAACATTACGAACGAAAGCCATAAGAATCAAAACTGCCTCTGTCTACTGGTAAGAGTATTACGTAATCCTACTTCAGTGCATGGCGTTGATGAGAATGGAACACAATACCTATTTTATTCCTGACAATTCTGACATCTTTAAAGGCAACTTCTGCATCATACAATTCTTGAAGAATCTAGTTTATTTAAAAAAAATTAGGTTAGATTGTGTTCATAGTATGTTTTGGGTATATAATGATAATAAATAATAGTGATGAATGTAATCTAATCTAAAAGTACATTGATTTATTCTGAAATAGAGCAGAATTCAGTATACATAATATTAGTCCTCACAAAAATTAAACATTTCAATAGCGGCCCAATTGTTCAAAAAAATGTTTACTGGATGATTACTTACATCATCTTCCTTGATTTCATCTCGTAATCCTCGCAGCATGATGACAGATGTTGGTTCATTTTCACTTTGAAATTCACTGTTTGCCGTCTTGGATTCATTTGTTTCAGACCTATCTCTACCCCTGTCCCTGTCCCTATCCCTGTCTCGATCTCTATCTCTGTCGCGTTCTCGATCTCTTTCTCTACTGGATTCTCTACTGGATTCTCTACTGTATTCTCTTCTCTTTTCCTTCTCCTTCTCCTTGTCATATCCATCATCCCAACGTGAGACACGTTCCCTCTTGTGTCGAGGCTGAGGAGAAAATAAACCTCATTTTAGTATCTTAAAAGAGAAAAGAAAGTAGAAATACCAAGACCTGAACCTGAACCTCCTGCCTACGCATTTGATACCAAAATTGCGAGCCTTTTTATAGAAAATAATGCAGTGCCAGAATTGAAATTTAACCCTTTCAAAAGGGACCAAATTTGCCAACAGGAGAATAGTTAGACCAGGGAGAAAACCACAACACAATGAATCATGATTGATGCTGATGAATTGCAGCCTGTGGTCTATGCTCAATTGAAATCCAATTCATAAAAATATATAGAAAAACATTGCAGGCCATAAGTTAGTTTTAGATAAAAGAAGTTCCCTAGGTACTGTACTACAAGATTTGACAACAACTTCTTGGCTAAATGCTTCTTGGTTAGTATAAGAGGCGATTTTTTCTTAGGTTAAAAAATATTGATTATTTTTTCTTGGGGGGAGAGGGGAGGAGAAGTTACCGAGTTCAAACAAAGAAGCATTCTGCCAGTAAAATATGTTTGAAAAATTAGAACATAAATAATTATCTCAGCACTTCATCTTTAGGACGATCATCACGGGAACTCCTTGGTCGATCCCAATCACAATCACGATCACGATCACGATCTCTGTCTCGTTCCCTGTCCCTGTCTCTGCGATCATAATCTCTCTGGTCTCTGTCCCAGTCACGATCACGGTCACGATCACGATCACGATCACGATCATAGTCCTTGTCTCTATAGCTATCATAGTCTCTGCGATCATCCCTGTCCAAGGCATCAAGGTAGTCTCTTTCATGTTCCCATCCTCTATCGCCCCCTCTTTCTCTATATCTAAAGTCAAGATTTCTATCTCTTGACACATAATCCAAGTCACGGCTCCTGTCATGGATTCTTTCAGGGTAGTATTCTCTGCCTAGCACAACACTTCTATCATCATAGAATTCTGGTATTGGAGGTGGCAGCGGCATCGGAGGAGGAAGGTTTCTAAATTGTCTAAGTTCTCTTGCAATGCCTTGTTCCAGATATCCTTCATGGTAGTACATGTCTTGTTCTGGATTTCTTTGGCCAAGTGGTATATCTCTGTAACCCATTCCATGTACCGTGACTTCAAATCTGTTGCCAAAGTCCCTGTTGTTCCTATGGTAAATTGGTAAACCAATGATGAAAGTGTCAGTATAGATGATTCAATATTAGAATGTAAATGAATGAAGGAAGCCTTCACAAAGAGTCTTAATATTATCCTGAATACCCTGTTGGTTATGCTATAAGGGAGTTTACCAAAACTATTGAAGTATGATATAAAAAAGTTCAGTGGTCGTCAGAAAAACGGTTCTAGAAATTCTTACAGGAAAAAAAAAAGATTTTGCACTTAGGATGTAACAGTGTAAATGTCACGATAGGTAGATTGGCAATGGATCGCTGTCAATAAAATATATCGCTAGAATACATAAAAGTACATGGGACCATGGAAAGGTACATGGAGATGATTTGACGATGATAGGCTATTCTTGAGGAGCATGTTAAATCATAGCCACCATGTTGGTTGACAATAACAAAGTATTTCTCATTAGCTTCTCTCRTTAGATCAACCAACATGGTGGCTGTTTCATCGTTATTTATATCTCGAGGTAATAAGAGTAAAAATAAAAATGGTTCTAATGAGCAAAAGTGGAAACAACCCTTTCGATTGGGGGCTTGCTTGAAGAGCTGCTTTAAAAACAAATCATTTACCCAGATTTTATTCATATCTTCCACATTTTGTGTAAAAAATATGTGGAACACCAACAGCATACCCCACAAATGATATGCAATTGTTGGAACTCTTCATAGAACAAGCCATACAACAATAACAGTCATTGTTATTATATATGTGTATATGATTTGCAGGGTATTTTGGAAAGTGCATATCGTTAGCGGGGTTTTCTGTTAGTATGTAAATAGTTTCCTAGGTATTCGGTAGTTACAAAGCGCAGGAAATAACATTATTATAGTACTAATGATGAGGTAAACGGATTGTGAAATGAATATGTACTTGAGAAACATGAGAAGAACGTGGATGGTTTCTGACCAGGAATAATTGAATTAAGCTGTAATTGAATATACCACTCTACACATATAGTTATTAACGTCCTTGCCTCAAATCCATAGTTGCTTAGTGGAGAAAATCTGCCATAAACTGGACTAAAGCACCCTGTGCCAGAAAGGATGGCTGTTCGGCGACTTAGGTCAAGATTGTCAACAGTGTTGACCAGAGTTCGACCAAAGTCACGAGAAAAAATATACTTGCAGACCTGTGAATAGCAAGATAACAGTTCAATGATGTGAAAGTTTGTGTAATAGTCTTAAACCAACAACCTTGGACCTTTAGAGCGCGTTTATCGAGTGTTCTTGTCCCTGTTTTGAGAAAGGTTTGAGGAAGCATTATTGTTCAAAATGGCCGCCAGCCGAAGCTCGTGCAAGTTGAGTCGAGGCGAAAAAGAAGAGATTCGAAGCGTTGAAATAATGAAAATACCTGTTGAACACGAAATCTGAAAAATAAACATCATGATAGGCTTGCATTTGGCAATATTATTATTATTTTACGAACCTTTTGAGGGTTTCAAAGTCTTGAATATCGTCGACTTTTTATCTTTTTCGTAAGTACTTCATGCCAGGCTACCAAGCGCACGTTCATAATGCATTGTGGGTAGCGCGTTTTTCCATTTTTTTTTCATTTAATTTTTTCTTTTTCTCTCTTTTTCTTTTCTTCCTTTTTTAACAAACTTCGTCACAAGCAGTACAATTATTTTTTCTCTTTAATATACTGCTGCGAGTATTTTTATCTTCGGTTTCATTTATAAAGCTATTTTGCACAGACTTCTAAGTTTGAAGACATAACTTTGAAAGGCCAAAAATTAAAGGGACTGTAATAAAAAAACGTACTCGATGAGTACGTGTCTACTGCTGATAGATACGTGTACAGCAGCATTTTTGAATCATGTTTATGTAGAATATTCACTTGCAGGTATTCAGGGCTTAGTATTCTGCTTACGGAGCTCAGTTATCCCTTTAAAGGGCTCAAATATTGCCACTGCAAAAATCGCATCGGTTCTGTAAAAATCGTTCATGAAGCGCCATTGTCGACATGCTTCGTGTAGAACAAACACGCCAGTTCAGTGGCCGTTTTTTGCGATAAATTCTTCCTAGATATTGCAAATACCTGAAAACATTTTAATTAAACAACATTTGACACATTCGATGAAACCTGTGTGCCTAGCTTGTTCCAAAAAACAGATAAAATTCCCTACAAAAATTGTTGCGATTACCTTGTAGAAATCACTGAATCCTACCGAATCATGGTTTCCCAGTCGATAAAAAGTCGTAAGGCAGTCGCAAACGGAGCAGCTAAGTCCTACGCGGGACTTCGGATAACATCGGCTATCCTCGCCATGCGCCTCTAGCTGCGCACGTGGGATCCGAAAGTAATCCGTAGTTTTACATTCCTTACACCGGGATGAACTTTATGTCAGTTATATCGTATCTCATTTAACTATATTTTTCGCTAGTTAAATAGGATATGAAGTATATCTGGGTAAACTCGATGCCATAGTGTCGTGAATACTGGAAAATATAACAAATTTAAATAAATCTTAAAATAGATACAAAAGCGAGTTATTTTTAAAAGGAATAAAACAACACGAAAATCACTGTCTAGAATTCGTTTTCCTTTCGCTTTTCGTTGTTGTGTGTGTGATTGGTCAACGCATCATCATATTCTCTTACGAGAATTTGAAATTGCTATGATCGTGTTTAAGCAACAATATATGGTTCTTGCTATAAGCGCTCTTAAAGCAAATCTACCGTAGACACCGCGAATGGTTTAGCCGACTTGTAGTCTAAGTTTTAAGGTCTAATGTATACCAATCCATTATCATATGATGTTGCGAGAGCCATACCTCATTATGCAGTATGAAATCGTGAACCTGGCTAGGAGATCTATGGAAAATCAGATGCATACTGAATTTGAACAGTTACTGGACACTATCCATCAGTACTGGCCTCGATTGCAAGACAAGAACTGCCAGGTTACATGGTTTATTTTTCCCTTTACCATTTTTAAAATGACAACGACGTAGTTGAAGAAAAGCAATGCAAAAGGACTGACGTAAGTTGAACAAGGATCCCGAAAGTCATTACTGTAAATCAATGCTTTACTAGCTTTACTATTGCCTTTGACTTACACAATATTCGATTTTTGCGCTTTTGGCATGCACATTCTTAGTTATGAACAAATAAACTGAATTTTAACAGAATATAAAGGGGAAAACTTAAGGGGAAATCTTAGAAGGAAATTATAGAAAATGGAAGCTATCGTACGATTGAGGCTGTGGATGTCCGCGCGCAAACCTAAACATCGACGTAAAACTTCGAAGATGGCGTATGAACTACGTAACTCGTAACCAGTGTAAACAAGGCGTCATTTCCAAGACAACCCTGAACAGTTTTCTTAAAACATTTGGAAGTTTACAGAGAAAAAACGAATCGTTGAAGTTTAAATTTTATAATGTCGCAACCCTCTTCGAAAGCGTGAGTTTTATTCTCTTTGTTACGTAAGCGCAGGAAGAGGCTTATCAAAAGTAAAATGCATTTTTAGGTCTAAAAGTAATGCGCAAAAGTAATTCATAAGCATTTGATCCTATTAAGACATGCCTTTGTTACATCCCATAGACGAAGACTTCGCCGCCCTAGAAATGCAAAAGTTCCCGCCCCAGCCCATGACTTTGAAACCGTCTCTCGAAGCTCCAAGGGTATTGCAGGTCGTAAACGTCGCTTTTGTGTTGACGAGCCGAGAAATAACTTATCAGAGACGCCTTTTAAGAAACCAAAAGTCGCCAGAAAAAAGACAAGCAAAAATGAGGTCGGTCGACTTGGACGAAAACGCTGCTTTTCTGGTGACGAGCCTACGAATGAGACGCCCATAAAGAAGACTAAAATCACCAGGAAAAAATCAGAGAAACCTGAGGTCAGTTTCTATAGCTGTTCTTAGTTAACTTCAGTTTATCTTGATTTCTACCGCGTGTGAAAATCTTAACGCAACTGGTGTAAAGCTCCAATGACCAAGAAGGAAGCCACGTTTTCCCGCCAACTACGCGCAAAACAGAATTTATATTTCCCTTTTTGCGCGTTATCTTTTTTCTCGAAATTCGTCTTCAACTGGGCATAATTATTTGTGAATGACTCAAAAGTCTATGAATATCTCGGGTATTTGAGTAAAAGGCGGTAAAAAGCGAAAGTTATTGAATTCACTGCGGTTTTCGCGCCAAAAGTCTTGGCCCTATCTTCTTCCTCAGTTGCTAAATAAGAAATATCTGTAAGCTCTTTATAATGAAATGTTATAACAGTTAATAGAATAATGTTATTTACTTGAATTTTTTTTACAGTCGAAGTCTACACAGGACTCAAATGACAAGATTCAAAAGCCAAAATATGCAGTTCAAGTCAAACCAAGATCTAGACGTCACAGACGAAAACAAAAACAAGAAAAACTAATGCAAATATTGAGAAGTAAGTTTTAAAAATTAGATTATCAATAAACTTTGTTTTAAGACTTAAAAAAGTAGCTTTCAACCCACTCATGGCAATTTGTGAAAAGAATAATTGCTGTACGACTAAAAATATTTATAGGATAAAAGTTGCTTGCGGTAAATCAAAAATCAAGCAAGTCTTTCTTGGGGGTGTGGATGGGAGGGCGATTGTGAGCTAACTACTGATTTTTCCATCTATTTCTTTGAAAATAGGGCTTACAAGAAAGGACCGCTTCCTTCGTAAATACGATCAACAAGATTTGATCGGACAAGGATCTTTTGGTAAAGTTTACGCTGGAATAAGAAACGATGACGGTTTACCGGTAAGCAATTTTGCAGATTGAATCTTTTTCTAATTCTCGATCAATATCCAGATTGTTTATCTATCTCTACTTTTGTTTATTCATTCTTTAATTTATTTGTTTATTTAATTACATCCATTCATTCCATCATTAGGTCATCAATTTATGTTTAATTCATTCATCTATTTGTTAATTTATTTATTCATTAATTTTGTATATGTCATTTATTTATTTGTTTATTTTTCAGTATTCATTCAATTGTTTATTTGTATAGAAAATCGCACGATCTTGAGTACAATTCGGAACATTATAGGTACGAGTGAGTGTTTTGAACGTTTTCGAAATTGGACGAGCCTTTTAGGCAAGTTCAATTTGAGAACTTTCAAAGCATCTCGAGTATCTATAAATTCCGAATTTTACGAGAAGACTTGCATTTTTTTGATACATTCAACAAAATTGAGGAACTTAATTGGGACTCTATCGAGTACAATTTGGGATTTAATTGTACTCCTCTTTGTCCAATTAGAATCAAGTAATTTAGTAGAGAGTATTATAAATTCATTTAATTTTTGTTATAAATTTTTTTCATTTATTCAATTTTTTCATATATAGTTCTTTATTTATTTATTCCTATTATTTATTTTTGTTCATTCATTCATTCCTTTATTTATAATTATATTTATTTGTTTGTTTGTTTTTTCTTTTTGATCATTTATGTCAAAATAAATAAATAAAGGCAGTTATTCTCTTGCTTTGCAGGTAGCCATAAAATACATCCCTGTGCAGAATGTTGACTACAACGTTCGGGTGAGTATAGCACGTCAATAGTCTCCTTATTAAACGTACTGATAAAAATGCCTGTATAGGCCCCTTGCAGCTCAGTAATCACGTGCTGATTAATTCACTGTGAGCAAATGAATGAACATCTTGACTCCCATGGGTGAAATATACTGGTGAGCAAACAAACTTTCTACAACCTGTTTCGAGAGATCGTAATAAAACTGCATTTCGTAACACACTGGTTACACATCGTTTCATTCAGTTCTTTACAAGTAGTTAAAAAGAATCACCAATTTTAAATAAAATAAAAAAATTTGCTCACCAGTACAGACACGTGATCGTTATCTGCAAAGGGCCTATTACTGCAGAAATAAGATATCATGAAGAATAAAAGTGCGGTGTAAGTAATAACCTTTAGATTTTCAACCTTTCAGGTTAACTCAGATGATACTGTTCCGGCCGAAGTTTACTTCTTGAAAAAACTCAAACACCCAAACATCATCAAGCTATTACATCACTACGAATTTGAAAACCATCACGTGATCGTAATGGAAAGACCACGTGACGGTATCAGCCTTTTCAACTACCTAGGCAAGCGAGGCGGTGCTTTGGAGGAAAGGGAGGTGAAGAATATTGCCCGTCAGTTGATACCAGCGGTTATGTATCTAGAAGAGATGGGCGTCATTCATAATGACTTGAAGACAGAGAATATTTTGCTGGATGAAGATGTTGGACGAGTGAAGATTATTGACTTTGGATTGGCTTGCAAGTTGTCATGTGAACCTATCCATCGGTTTGTAGGTATGTGGGATTTATTCATTAAAAGTATACTGGAATTAATCGAGAGCACCGCACACCGAGTCGAAATGTGGGAACCAATTTGAATAACTATCTTTCTGACCTGGCTAGCCTCTATTACATGTGAAAACGCTTTTGGTAAGTCCCGAACAATAGTTATTCAAATACGACGTTTGCATGATGGCGTCATCGACCTCTACTACCAGACTTCCTTGCACACTTTTGATGTCTTAGTATTCTCACGAGTGAATACAAATTCAAATAAGAATTTGCGAAGCATCTTGTTAGTTGCAGTCAAATGACGCCGTCATGCAAACGTCCTATTGTTAATTTACGAAACACTTTTGAACTAAAAGTTTGCCAACTTCTTTAGAGAGTAACCCATAAGGAAGACTACGAAAGATAAGCATTGTCCTCTGAATTACTATAGCATTAAAAAGCATTCTAAAAACTAAAATTTAAAGGCTAAAAATAAAAATAAATAAGCCCTTATTTTGGAAAGTCTGCAGGTTTGAAGAATGTGTAAAACAGCTTTAAGCTTAAAATAAAACGAAGAATTCGAAAATAAAATTATCATTTAAAAGCTAAAAGAAAACTTAAAAGACTTATTTTGGAGAATTTGTGACTTTATAAAAAAATAAGTTTTAAAACTTACCATAAAAGAATAAATTAAATATATATTTTGTGAAATAGAGGGTTTGCACCATCAAGTGACGGCAGCCATGTTGGATGGTAGGAAAAATACAACCGTTTTACATGAAAAATAATTCAATTCCCAAGAGCAAAGGGACTTTATTGTTCTGTCACCAAACCACAGGCAGCCCAAGCTGTATTATTGGCATGGGCACGTGATGGTGCAAGACCTCTATAGTTATGGATTTGTTTTATCCATCTAGGTACCAGGACTCACTGCCCGCCCGAATACGCTGTAGAATTCGAGTACTTAAGTAGAGAGGCTACTGTATGGTCATTAGGCTGTGTTATGTATGACTTACTGTCTGGCGAAATACCATATCGAGACGACCAAGATGCATGCTGGTCTCCGTTAAAGCTGCCAGAATACTTGTCACAAGGTAAGATAATTGGCCTAGTGAGAATCCGAGGCACACACGTTTTGGCGCGAAAATTCCCGCCAAATCCACAGGTAGCCCAATAAAATAGGAAAAAGAGCCGTATGCGCACGCGAGCGCTCGTGGTATTTGTGTCATTCCAGCGTCACAAATTTTAAAGAGAGAAGAATATATTAAAAAAATCACGACCGCAATGTGCAGGCATGTGGAGGCCCCTCTGCAACGGCCCTACAGTTCTTGTATGACCCCAGAACATAGCTCTAACCAGTTTGAATTAGTTAGGGTCGATTTGAGACAAGGGAGGAAAAACTGAAAGGCCTGAAAAACCTGTGGGATACGAACCCGGATCTTAGATTTGAGAAGTGGGCGTTTTACCATCACGCCATCCTGACTCCTTTAATATTAACGTTACCTGTTACACCTTACGTTACCCTTTTGTCAACAGAAGCCTCACATTTTGTGCGCAGAATGCTTGAAAAGGACAGGCAGAACCGTGCAACTTTAGAAGAACTTCTTGAACATCAGTGGTTACAGGACGATTGATGTCGTATGATGAGTCACTCCTTGTCCTACGGACTATCGTTAGTACTGGGACGCCACTGCTGGCCAGCAAATACAGGACACCAACATGTAGTCCTGTTATCAATAAGCGTAAAGGAAAACGTAGATATAGGCGCACTTGATATTGCACCAGATTTAACCTACTATAAACTATGCACTAAATCAAACATAACAAAAAAAAGGTCAAAGATAAACCAGAAAAAAATCACATTATCCGATAAAAAATATCTTTGGCATAGTGCGTTACAAGCATCGTACATAGTGTATGAGGTTTAAGTTATAATAAATGTATATTGTAATGATAATAAAATTTCAATAGACTAAGAAATGAAAATAATTTCTAACCCTTTCTACTGAGAATTCACTCCGAGGCCAACCAATGAAATATTTTGAATCATTCATGAGTTTTTGAATTAAGATACAATAGATCTAGAATATAATTATAACTCTTTCATCATTCTTATTCCATTCTTATTTGGTGTTTTGGGTGGCATGTGAGACCATTATTTGAAACATGAATATTGACAAAGGGTTTACTCAAATAGCATGGGAGTCTAAATTGCACGAACGTTTTCTAAATCATTTCACACCAGTAAAATGCGCAAATTAGCGCGTACTCAGGAATTGACGCAGCTATAGCGGTTGATCAAATTCAAGACTTACAAAGTTCTAAACACAATTCTTACGCAAAGTTTAGTAGTTAAAAAGCACATTCAAAAATGACAGCTCAGAACTCATTTCTTTGTGATTTGGACACAAGCCAATGTATCTACTATATCAATTAGCTCGTCATCCTTGACGTCTTTAAATCTCCCATTATCCAGCTCTTTGACGCTTTCTTCGATCTCTTCATCCGTGTATCTACGGAAACTTGACCAAAAACGATTGCGAATCATGTAGTACCACCTACTTTTGGGAATCCTGAATCTAGCCTTCTCATTGGTCACTTTTGTGATGACGTCATCCCGACTTTTGGCACAAGAGACTATGTCGTCCAGAAAATCCGGCGTCTCCGCAAAATGTTGTACATGAATAGCCGTGAATGGTAGAGATATTCCACTAGATGGATGATTGATGATAGCGCAAATGCCATTCGTTGGTAGGTAGTTAAAGATCTGTGTTAGAACTTTGGGGATGTTATCAAAATGATGAGCTACAGCAAAAAGCAGTACCTTGTTGAATCGATGCTGAAAAAGAGATGATGTTGACCATAGTCAGAAACGAACACGCTGAGTTTGCATGTTTCTCATTTATTGTAGACTCTATCCATTGTGTTATAATTGATTTACAGCGATAACCGTTGCATCGCAGCCAGCCGTCATTTTTAATACTTCGATTGGATTTTCGTCTCTTCTGAACCATCAATCATCTGTTGAATGGTTACGAGTTGTCGCCCACAAGTTGTTGATGACGGGTTGATTGTCGTTTCCGACAGGCTTCAGTAGAGTGTAGTAATAAGTAGTGTGGTATAGGGTTTAGCAAATGTATTAATTCTGTGAGAGGTGTTTTGATTGTTTGCGTGTTTCGCGCTGACTTTCGCGCGCACTAACGAGCAAATGAGTCCAAATGAACTCCAGAAATGAAAAGAGCACCTCATTTTAATAGTAAGAGGGCGAAGTTTTAGTTTTAGGAATGACATTAAATATAAATTCAAAGATTTTACAAAGATTTGTATGGGAAAAGTGTTAGCTGGTAAGCTTTTGCCATGCAACCGATTTCCCGTATGAATCCTTATAAAACATTCAATTTTACATCTAGTCCCATTTCTCCTGTTTCGCTTATTACGAGCTGAAACTCCGCTCCCTACTAATGCCGAGATGCTCTTTCCATTTCTGTTTTTTTTTTTTTTATTTTGACAAAACTGCTAGTTTTACGGGAGGTAGGGTCACGTGACCTGTTAGTGCAAGTCGTCTATTGGCACTTTTAATGAAAACGCAGCGATGGGTCAAAAATATCATGACTTTGGTCACCTCGTCATGCCTACCTTGTCTATAGCAACGTGATCTTGAACTAGATGATCACAAAACTGTTCTGCTCCTTGCATCACAGGTACAATACCATCCAGTTTGCATGCGTGTTCAAAGAATCCTTGACAAGGCTCCAAACACGTGACAGGATTCTTGAGTCCCACTTGCTTCCATACCAGATGTGCTTGTTGACCGGTAGCAGCACCAATGTCCAATAGCAGATCGTCTGGTATCAGTTGTAGTTTGTCGATGATGATTGGTACGTTGGCTTTGTAGAATGGCTCGTATAGGTAATCATAATTAATGGATATATCAGTGTAATGCGACTCCATTCTGCCATAAAATAGAAACTGAATATTATCAAATAAATATGTATACGGGTTCGGCACTTTCTCGGTTTTTTCAATCACTGAAAATATACATAAAAAGAATGGAATATAGCGATGGAACTAGACTGTTAACAATCCCTCTTTTCCCAATTCTAAAATCAAGTCGAGTTTTTCCTCCGACTTACTTGCCTCTACCCTTCGGTATGTTATAACTTTTACGGCTCTCAAAAATGTTCAGTCCCTATGGATCCCAATCCCAAGAAATCTGTTACGTTCATAAACCCCATGAGGTAAGCCCAGCAAACAGAGCAAAATCTGCTACAAGTTTGTACAAGAGAAAGCGAAAATGGTAGGCAAACACTCAAGGAGGAAAGAATTACATGAAACACAAATTTAAACTATGGCGGATTTAGGGGGGGTTCATTGGGTGCAAATGAACCCTCCCCCCCACCGGCTGGTACCTTGGATTTTTTATATTTTTTTAAATAGATAAATAAAAGTATGGTACTAACTCATGAGATTTAATATGAAATGGGACTGGTGGATAGGTTATCATTATCGGGAGCTCCCCTAGGCCAGTGATGTGCCTTATGGGAAAAATGATGATGCAAGAGAACGTTATTGTGGTGCCGAGATTTGCAAAATTGAACCCCCCCCCC